AGCAGTATTCTACTTTTTTAAAGCAAAATATTTAACTCATTAATCCCTCATCAGCATTACAAATTTATTTCTATGTTTCCACGAACATAATGACAAAAATAAATGTCCACAAATGGGGAACTCAAATAAAAAGTGTTTTTATTTATACAGGCAGAAGATAGAGAAGGAAATTAACATTTGAGAAAACATTACATTAGCATAGAATATTACTTATGATTTAACTTTTTCACATGTTTAGTATGCTGAATTTAAAAGTATAGTTACTGAACTATACATCTGGCTGAAAAGTCTGGAAGGAAGAGAGAAAGGAGGTCCGGAATAGTAAAAGTTTTTAAAAGTGCCTGTATATACCAAGGGAGCCAAAAAGACTACGTGCATGGGCAGCATTGGACGCAGCACCGACTTGGGGCAGTATAAAGCAGAATGAAAAATGACTTGGCTCCTGAAGTGAACTAGTCTGTGCTCCCCTTGTCTGTTAAAACTACCAATAAGCTTGTTTGCATACCCTATAATACTATGTTTCATGAGGACAGAAAAAGATGGTCTTCAAAAATTAGAAAAAGAAGGGTTGCAAGGACAGCCAACATTTTGACCCTAGCCATTCAAGGTCAGTGAGGACTCAGGACATAAGAGAACCTGCACTGTAACATTCTGTAGCTCAATGGTGTCCCAAATTTTCTGATCAAGGAGATTATGGGGCCACAGAAGAATGTAATCAACGATGCAGAGTGTGCCGAAGGAGAGTCACATGGAGAAAAAACATTCTCTCAGGCTTTCACAGAGAGCAAATTGATCAAGCAATGGCCGTGACTCATCCACATGGCTGACACTGACAAAAGATCTACAAACTACGGTGCAGGGTTTCAGGATAAATTCTGAGAAAATTTGACTGACCTTGTCAGATACAAAAGTTACATTTCTTGTTATATAGGTCTTGCTTTATATTGGTCTTAACCATCCAGCAGAAAAGTATAAAAATGAGGTATAAAAAGTAAAGCCAGGGGCTGGTGAGATGGCTCAGTGGTCTAAAGCATCTACTTAAAACAAGCTAAGCTAAGCAAAGCACAGGGACCACGGTTCAATCCCC